CAGTCTGAACTACGTAGATCTATTGTGTTTGTTTCTTTTTTGTTTTTTTTTTTTTTTTTTTTTTTCTTTCTCTTTTTCTCTATAATGTTGTATTGAAAAATTAAGAGGGTTTTTTTTTGATAATGATGTTGCATATGCTGTATGTACTATGTACTGCAGCAATCAAGCGACCGACCGACCCTACCCGACTGAACCGCCCCTTATCACTCTCCCTCCACCACCACCACCACCACCAAGTCCCCTGCCAACCCGGGATTCCCGCAGTCGCTGTTTCACTCCAATCCCACCCTACATTTTGTTTAATCCCTTTGTATTGAGTAAGAGCTCGCTGCAATGAACAGCTGGTCCGAAGCGAGCTCTGAGACATCACCTATAACAAACGTGTACTAAAGATAGCTAGTTAGCTAGTAGCTAGCTATCTACCCAGACTAGCAGTAGACCAGGACCCTGTCTCTCCTTTTCTTAGATACGTCGTATCTAAGATCCAAGCCATGTCTCTGATTGTGTGCGAGCGCGTGAGAGTGGCACACACACACACACACACCTGGATTGTTCTGGTCTGTCTATTTCTGCCTTAAGTTGCCTACGTATGCCTACCCTCCGAACTAACCCACTTCGATGTAAGTGTGGGTGATTTACTGGTGAAAAGGCGTATAATTTCCAATGCCGGGATATCCGGGCTCAATGTCTGATCGAATTTCGATCGGTGAGAGGGGAGTCCGGTTCCCCGATGACGGGAATTGCAAAGTAAACGAGGACAAAAAGAAAAAAATGTCCAAAAATAAGCAAAGAAGATGCTTAGACATAACGCCGATTCTAGATCGTTATCTTTCCCCCCGAGGTGGTAAGTAGTAGCCTAGACACTACAGCCCGCGGGACAAGAAGACAAACGGAAAAAGATGTTGAACAATAGTAGTACGTAGTAATGAGAAAAAGCCATCGTAGACCATGCCAGAAACAGTAGAGATTGAAAATACGAGAACGAAGATAACAATAAGAAAACAAGACACAACCCCTCTTTTGCAGCTACTACTGGAAAATCCCTGCATTGGTCTCTGGCACCGGTCGTTCTACCTTGCGCTGAGCAGTACCTAAGGGAGTCTAGTGTAGCCGGGAAAGGGTCCATAGGGCTCAAGCCACAGTAAGGTACTGACACTTGGCATGAGGAAAAAAAAAGGGTTCTTGCTCCATTTTGGTGGTTTTGTTTTTCGTTTTCGTTCTCTTACGTCTTTTTCTCGTTTTGCTTTTTGTTTTGATTTTCTCCGCGGATAAATAATTATCATGTCGAGGCAAAGTAAAAGTTACTTTACGGACGACGTCCGAGGTTTGACATGCACCGATCTGGGCCAGATTCGGCTTTGGAAACATGAGAACGATAAGAATAGCTAGGGAGGACTAAACATTGGTCGTTTCATACAGTGGGTGGTTTACGTCTCTCGAGGGGAAAAGCGAGGAGTAGAGAGAGGAGGATGAGGGTCCAGTGCATTGACAGCGTGGTTCCCTGGCTGGTGCAGACAGTGGCACCTACGCTGAAAGAGATCTTCGCGACTCTTCATTCTTGGGATGAATGCAATGCAGCCTGGGATTCATTCCTTTCAGCCCTAGCGACCCCCCTAAGAGGGGTTAACTAACTGAAAGGCAACTACATTGTCGTCTAGTAACAAACTACTGACGAAGCCACCACGATTATGCCACTGCATACGTATGCTCGCTTCTTGGTTATTTCGCCCTCCTCTCTTAACGGCGTGTACTCGATCGGGGACCAGAGAATATCACTAGCCTAGCTGTCTACTAGCACCTGAAGATGGACCCTCGCCAAGCCTAATCTAGGTAGTGGAGAAGCCGCTTACAAAGCAAT